GTTGGTAACAATGATATCCTTTTACCAACAGATATTCCGTGCCTAATGTAACCGTTTAACATTTTGATCTTTTACCTACGAATATTCCGTAGGTGACGTACAAATATTTAATTAGAAACGGATTATCCGTTGGTAAAAGTAATTCACTTTCAACTACAATAATCAGCAACGAATTTTCCATTTGTATGATAATACTCTTTACCAACGGATATTCTATGCCTAATATGATCATTTAACATTTGAATCTTTCACCTAAGGATATTCCGTTGGTAATTAAAAATGGATTATCCGTTGATAAAAGTAATTCAATTATCCCACATCGAAAGTTTACAACAAAGTCTTTGAAGTTGTCCTCAATAAATTTGTGGTCCAATAAGTGGTTAAATAATATTTTGACTTTTCAATTCAATTGTTTAAAAGTTTTAAAAAAATTATAATTATTAAATAAATAATAATAACAATAATAAAAAAAAAGTACATAATTTTTTTTTTACCATGCCTCACACCTATGCGACTATTTACAACATTAATTTTTACCAATTGTAATGGTAGACATTTACCAACGAAAAGTCGGTTGGCATTGATTAAGATTTTTACCAACGAAAATTTCGTTGGTAAAAAATTCACACATTACCAAAGAAATTTTCGTTGGTAAAATGTTTACTCTTTACCTACGGCACAATCAGTTGGTAACTATCAGCGACCTTCAAATTAACAACGGATTTGTGGTTGCAAATATTCCGTTGATAAAGAGTAATAGCAACGGATATCAAAGTTTTAGGAACGTTAAAATAAATAATTAAATAATTTATTAAATATACACAATCAATTAAGACAATAAATTAATAAAATATTTAAATGAGAAATCAAATTAAATATTAATTTTTTATTTAAGCAAGTGATTAAATAAATAATTAAATATTAAATAAATAATATATATAACCGATTAAGATAATTAATTAATGAAATATTTAAACAAGAAAGTAAATTTAATATTACTTTTTTTAAATTTGTGTAGTTGTTTAAAATAAATAATTAAATATAAAGTGAAAAGTGTTTGATTTTTTAATTTCTAACTTAAGGGTATTTTTGTCTTTTGAAACAAAATTCTATCTTTGTAATTGTATAAACTATTTAAGGGCATTTTTGTCTTTTACTCAATAAAAGGCCATTTTGGCTATAGGCAAATTTTTTTGCTTAAAGTGAAAAAATGTCACTTTGACTTAGCCAAACTAAAAATTACCCCTTTTGCATTCAAGATTTTGTTTTCATTTTATTTTTATTTTTTTGGTTTTTGGGAAAAATGTAAATTCTATTGATCAAAATTCATTTACAAATACACCGGACATACTCAGAAAATAAAAAATATAAAGATGTACAAACAACAATAGATCTATTGACCCAACAATAGATACTCAAAAGAACCAAAATATTAGTATATAAAGAGTACATAACTTTGTATACATGTATTTTAATCTGTCTAACAATGATATAAATATATGGTTTGAGATCATCAAGAATCATTCTATTTCGTGCCATCCAAATTTGGTAGACTGTGCAAGTAAGTGCAATTTTCTTGGCTTTAGATTGTCAAGATATGCCTCAGGCTTCTTTCTTCATCCACTTCAATGCATTAAGTATTGTTGTCATTGACCTCCTCATTCCCAACCAACCTTTGATCTGTCCCCAGATTCTTGGAGTCAAAACACATTGAACAAATAAGTGCTTCATTGTTTCAAGGTGTGAATGACATAATTTATTGATATTTAGATGCATCAATTTATCCTTCGTTAGAAGCTTAGACTGCCCAGCCAACCACAAAATGAAGGAGTGTTTTGGAGTAATGTAAGGTCTCCAAATCTCCCAGGTCCAGCATCGTTTTTTCCCCCTTCGGCCTAAAAAACTGATATTCACTGCCCATGCAAAATCTGCCGGAAGCTGTCCAACTGGACATCTTATTAATAGCGGCATGGTTAGTGAGTTTCAACCCTCTAAGCTAATTTTGAATGTCCAACAACTTCTTGATCAATGGAGAGTGACCTTTCCTTGCCATACACTCCCAAATACTAGCCCCACGGAAGTAAATTTGATTATTTATCCATAGTGCATCTTTCTTACTATGGANGAAGGACCCTTGTGATCCACAAATATATAGATTATAGAATATGGGGTTTTAATTTTATGTATTTGCAGTGCTGGACTTGTCTGGGCATCTCTTCCACAAAGCTTAAATCAGATTGGCTAAGTCACTGGGATTTGTTTGCCATGCCCTCATCAAACCCCATATTCTATACAAGCAATTGCTTTGACATACAGATTCTTAACGGTATGTTCTCTTTACCGTTTTCGGGCCGGACCGTTTTTGGTTTTCGATTTTTCAAAATGGTAAAAACACGTTCTGTTTTCCGTTTTCAAAAACGAATTTTCGAAAATAAAAAAAAAAATTGTGAAGAAAACACAAAACAACATTTTTGTCGTTTCGGGTGTTTTCAGTCAAAACTTGAAAAAATTGAAAACACAGGAAATGGTTCTATTTGAGAATTAGTTTTCCAAAATGACAAAAAGAACGCATTTTCAACAATTTCAAAACAGGCACTCAAAACGCAAAACCCAAAATGAATTCAAAACTTAAAACTACAAAACTGAAACATGAAGAGAACGGCCCCTAAATTTTTCTTCAGCTAATACGTCTACGAAAGGGAATGTGAAAAAAAAAATAATAAATAAATAAATTATGCAGCTGAAATTACAAAGGATAAGTGGTTACATCTGGGATTCAGGAGACTCTTATAAGGTAAGCAAACTTATTGATTCTTAGTTAAGAACAAAAATTATGAAATCTTCGGTTTTGAAACTTGTTTACAGTATCTGCTTTATATTTTCTTCTTCTTGAAGGTATATAATACATCAGATGAAAACAAATCTTGCTTCATTTTTAAGAGTAGATGATAGAGAGGTTTAGATCTTAAGGATGTCATATAAAGTGACTTGTTTTTAGTCACATACGTGATTTTTGAGTCAAATTGGCCGGTCCGATCCAATTCTACAATTATGGATTTCATTTTTCTAATGAATCGAATGTATTTTTTTATGTGTCTACATCGACTTTTCATATTTAAACTCAGCTGGTTTGACGTGACTAGATTTCAATGCTGAATTGGAAGAAGAAAATCACATATTCAAATTCTATACCGAGTAATTGATTCATTTTAGATTGCTTGTGGTAGGGAAAAAATATATAAACCCTAAAAAGAAAATGGGAGAAAACACATGATTTGACCTTAAAAACCTTGAAAAAACAAATTGGTGTATGCTCAATGAAAAATATCCTAGTCAGTACGTGCTAAATACGCATCACTTTCTTATGTTGGGTTTATATATATATGCAGCTAGGGTTTGAGGTCCACTAGTGATTCATTATTCTTGCTAGCACAAGAAAGAAACCCTAGCAGTTGCTGTCTTCTCTCTGTGTGGATTTCATTGGAGGCTGGACAATTGAACAGCTGTGGGAGGCAGATTCAAGCTGCTGGAAAGGAACAACGCGAAAGAGTTTGCAAATCACAAGTAAAGGTATATTTTTCTCATCACAGTTTTTATCTAAATACAAAGCTGAATCCTGAATGGGAATTGAAACTTGTTAAATTCCGCTGTGCATGTTTAAGTAAATCTCCAACAGTCTAGGCATCTCTTCCACAAAGCTTAAATCAGATTGGCTAAGTCACTGGGATTTGTTTGCCATGCCCTCATCAAACCCCATATTCTATACAAGCAATTGCTTTGACATACAGATTTTTAAGGGTGCGTCCTCTTTACCGTTTTCGGGCCGGACCGTTTTTGGTTTTCGATTTTTCAAAACGGTAAAAACACGTTCTGTTTTCCGTTTTTAAAAACGAATTTTCGAAAACAAAAAAAAAAAAGTTGTGAAGAAAACACAAAACGACATTTTTATCGTTTTTGGTGTTTTCAGTCAAAACTTGAAAAATTTGAAAACACGGGAAATGGTTCTATTTGAGAAATAGTTTTCCAAAATGACAAAAAGAACGCATTTTCAACAATTTCAAAACAGGCACTCAAAACACAAAACCCAAAATGAATTCAAAACTTAAAACTACAAAACTGAAATATGAAGAGAACAACCCCTAAATTTTTCTTCAGCTAATACGTCTACCAAAGGGAATGTGAAAAAAATAATAATAAATAAATAAATTATGCAACTGAAATTACAAAGGATAAGTGGTTACATCTGGGATTCAGGAGACTCTTATAAGGTAAGCAAACTTATCGATTCTTAGTTAAGAACAAAAATTATGAAATCTTCGGTTTTGAAACTTGTTTACAGTATCTTCTTTGTATTTTCTTCTTCTTGAAGGTATATAATACATCAGATGAAAACAAATCTTGCTTGATTTTTAAGAGTAGATGATAGAGAGGTTTAGATCTTAAGGATGTCTATAAAGTGACTTGGTTTTAGTCACATACGTGATTTTTGAGTCAAATTGGCCGGTCCGATCCAATTCTACAATTATGGATTTCATTTTGCTAATGAATCGAATATATTTTTTATGTGTCTACAACGAATTTTCATATTTAAACTCAGCTGGTTCGACGTGACTAGATTTCAATGCTGAATTGGAAGAAGAAAATCACATATTCAAATTCTATACCGAGTAATTGATTCATTTTAGATTGCTTGTGATAGGGAAAAAATATATAAACCCTAAAAAGAAAATGGGAGAAAACACATGATTTGACCTTAAAAACCTTGAAAAATCAAATTGGTGTGTATGCTCAATGAAAAATATCCTAGTCAGTACGTGCTAAATACGCATCACTTTCTTATGAAGATGATGTGAAGCCATGATAAGAGATATTTTCATATGTCAATAATTATCATGGCCCAAACATTATTATACTTTGTAAGGAAAAACAGTTAAAATATACTGTACCTGATAAAATCATGTGGACTAAAACTATCATGGCCTCCTTAACTCGGTATATGCTTTGATTGCTGTCTTTATTATTAGTACTATTTTCTTGATATATTCTTACCTTTTTTCCTTGAATGTTTTGCCATTTTTCTGCATGTACAAGACGAGGCATATAAGAAAGGCTAATATCATCTCAAATTGACTGCACAATCCTGATAACGTTCCAAGCACATTAAGACTTCAAAAATCCTTCTATTTCTGTTTTTTCGAATTTCGATGGAGAAGCTTCTTGGTTCGTATGACAGGGAATACATGAAAATGGCCATGTTAAAGCACGAGGAAACATTTCGAGAGCAGGTAGGTTTATATTCCCATCTTACGTTTTGCCTATGTCTTGCTTTAATTGCTATATCGAGAGTTAGTCTATGTTTATGTCTTTTCCAGAATCTTTTTAAAGGCTCAATTAGTGTTCTAATCTTTCAATTAATTTTCCAGGTGTGTGAACTTCATCGTCTTTATCAAATTCAGAAGATGCTTATGAAAGAAACCGCCAAAAATAGGCAAAACATGCAGGATTACTTGATTAATTCCAATAAGCTCGATGATGATGACTATATTCATACTAAGGCCATGAAATGTCTAGACTTGGAAGAGCCTGCTGGAGAGTTCATAGCAGAATCAGATGACAGCAGAGTGCTCGAAATTGAAGATTACAATGATCTTGAGCTGACATTAGGCCTGAAAAGCTATTACACGAGGGGAAAAGATACTGAAACGTCAACGGAATCAGATTTCGGGCCGAGCATTAATAATTTGTCTTCCTCCATTGGATCAAACCATGTAAAGAGAACAAGAAAATATCCAAGAGAAGAATCATTAAACCAGCAGAAATGGGGACTAGGGATGACTGTATCAATTCCTAGTTTCCTTGGAGGAAGGAAAATTAGTTCTGAGGTGGAAGAACATTTGAGAAAAGATGGATTAAATGCTCCACCTTGGCTTTTCCAGGCTTTAAGCCTGAATATGAGTTGAGAAAGGCGAAAAAATTTCATCCCATGTCAGTATAATAACGTCTGTAGACTTCCTATTGTCATCCTATTCTGTGAGTATGATCGGATTTTATTTCGATATTAACTTATTTTCTAGTTTTTACTAATAATGGGATTCATTTTTTGAGACTTGTTTATTCCACCATAACTTTGTAATCAACCATGTCTTTCTTGCTTGTGGTAGGGAAAAAATATATAAACCCTAAAAAGAAAATGGGAGAAAACACATGATTTGACCTTAAAAACCTTGAAAAATCAAATTGGTGTGTATGCTCAATGAAAAATATCCTAGTCAGTACGTGCTAAATACGCATCACTTTCTTATGAAGATGATGTGAAGCCATGATAAGAGATATTTTCATATGTCAATAATTATCATGGCCCAAACATTATTATACTTTGTAAGGAAAAACAGTTAAAATATACTGTACCTGATAAAATCATGTGGACTAAAACTATCATGGCCTCCTTAACTCGGTATATGCTTTGATTGCTGTCTTTATTATTAGTACTATTTTCTTGATATATTCTTACCTTTTTTCCTTGAATGTTTTGCCATTTTTCTGCATGTACAAGACGAGGCATATAAGAAAGGCTAATATCATCTCAAATTGACTGCACAATCCTTCTATTTCTGTTTTTTCGAATTTCGATGGAGAAGCTTCTTGGTTCGTATGACAGGGAATACATGAAAATGGCCATGTTAAAGCACGAGGAAACATTTCGAGAGCAGGTAGGTTTATATTCCCATCTTATGTTTTGCCTATGTCTTGCTTTAATTGCTATATCGAGAGTTAGTCTATGTTTATGTCTTTTCCAGAATCTTTTTAAAGGCTCAATTAGTGTTCTAATCTTTCAATTAATTTTCCAGGTGTGTGAACTTCATCGTCTTTATCAAATTCAGAAGATGCTTATGAAAGAAACCGCCAAAAATAGGCAAAACATGCAGGATTACTTGATTAATTCCAATAAGCTCGATGATGATGACTATATTCATACTAAGGCCATGAAATGTCTAGACTTGGAAGAGCCTGCTGGAGAGTTCATAGCAGAATCAGATGACAGCAGAGTGCTCGAAATTGAAGATTACAATGATCTTGAGCTGACATTAGGCCTGAAAAGCTATTACACGAGGGGAAAAGATACTGAAACGTCACCGGAATCAGATTTCGGGCCGAGCATTAATAATTTGTCTTCCTCCATTGGATCAAACCATGTAAAGAGAACAAGAAAATATGCAAGAGAAGAATCATTAAACCAGCAGAAATGGGGACTAGGGATGACTGTATCAATTCCTAGTTTCCTTGGAGGAAGGAAAATTAGTTCTGAGGTGGAAGAACATTTGAGAAAAGATGGATTAAATGCTCCACCTTGGCTTTTCCAGGCTTTAAGCCTGAATATGAGTTGAGAAAGGCGAAAAAATTTCATCCCATGTCAGTATAATAACGTCTGTAGACTTCCTATTGTCATCCTATTCTGTGAGTATGATCGGATTTTATTTCGATATTAACTTATTTTCTAGTTTTTACTAATAATGGGATTCATTTTTTGAGACTTGTTTATTCCACCATAACTTTGTAATCAACCATGTCTTTCTTTGTAAAATTGGGTCATAACCCGAATTCTTGAGTATTTGATTGGAAATATTGTTGGAGAAGTATTAAGAGTTGGTAGGAAACTTAAAGATGTCTTGAAAGAATCCAAGGTGAATTTGACTCTATTTCATCTCATATTCTCCATTATTGATTTTACCCATTGTATTTAAACTTCACCTTATATAAAACTCTTCAGTATGAGTTCTTCTAGTATGTTAGGGATTCTTTGGTTACAAGTATGTGATGTACAGTACATTTTGGAATTGATAAATTGTCCAATTAGTTATTGATCCAAAGAGATATTTTGTAACTCTTTACTATTGATTATAGTGAATTCTCCGCTTATGCCGGTGGTTTTCCCGGATTTGGGTTCCACGTAAATCTTGGTTTTCTTTGTGATTAATTATTTTCATATTGTCCATATTATTTTCGTCTTTAATTATTTGGTCCGATTCTCAACAAATTGATATCAGAGCTATTCGACTTTTAACAAAGTGGTTTCAAATTTGATCCGAATTATAACATTCTTCAAAGAAAGGGTGCATTGCCTCGTTTGAGTGGTAGTAATGCACCTCGTTTGAGTGGTAGTCTAGTCTATGACAAGATCGAGTTGGGTCTCCCAGTTACAGCTGGACCTTGCTTAAGAAGGAAGAGATCCAATACGACCAGAACGTCGTATTTTCCATCAGCATATGGACATACTCGTGGGATGCTTAGATTGAGTTTATAGACATGATTATCTGTACTTGGTTTACAACAAAATATCTATGGGAATCCCAAGAGTCCAAAACTGTCCCACATGATTTGTCAATGCTGATGTCCTGTCATTGGATTAAACCTAGGTATTATTAACATAAGATGGGAATCAAACAAGAAATATCTACTCATTAATTAATTCCCAGAGAATTTGTCTATTCTTGTGACAATCACCTTTCTGAAAAATCTAATTTTTCCAAGATTTCGGGCATCTTTCAAAAGCTGTTGAGTTTGTAAATCCACTTTACAGCAAGATTTGTGTTTGTAATATATAAATAAATATCCACATGCTCATCTGGGCCTATTTTGTCCTATCTCCCAAGAGGAATTCTATCTTTAATTACATTTGTGCAATTATATGTTTAGTTCTCATGCACCTTGTGAATTCATCTAAGAGTAAAGATATCGCAGAACAAGTTTTTAAGGGGAAGATGTTAATGATCACACTATAGGTCATAGTGACACACTGGACGAATCTAGATTTTCTGTAGCCACCCAATGACAAGACGGGACGTTGAACTTTTTCTATAGATACACTGGACTAAATTAGATTAGACACTATAATTATATAACGTCTCACTTTCTTAATCATGTTCAATTAAAAGTACCAAACATGTCACAAAATCTTAAACTCAGTGCCTAGCCAACTCCTAACTGAAAACTTGTACCTTGACAAGGAAATCCATATGCCTAAATCAATCTCAATTCCATTATTGAGGGCCATTGTCCATGTGGGACTTTTGGAATTTTTCTACCTCAATCTACTATTGTTCACTTCTTTATTTTGTTTAATCACTTGTCAGCCTCCATCAAGATACAGACATGGCGTCTTTTAATATGCAAACAAGATGGAAGGAATCTGATCTGCTAAAACCTTTATTCAACTTCATTAAAATACTATTTTATACACGCCATAAGTGAAATAGAGCTATCCCATTTCTTCTTTGTTCATGATTTTCATTTGATACCTACCACCGAGAAAATGTTTTAAGCAATAACATTTTTAAGTGTCTTGAGGCGTCTACCACCAAATGAACATTAGATTCCAATTCCGAAATATAAAGCTGCCCCACAATTATATGTAATGACTGAACTCTGATCTCTCAAGTTAAATATTATCTAATTATTTGATTTAGATGTTGAAGTGTGAACACTGATATATTGTCTATTGTGTTTTCTAGCTTTTCTTTTTTAATTTAAATAGAGAAAATCAACCTATTAAATTTAGAGTCTGAATTCACCGATAGGAGTAAATTGGACAGGGTGGGCGATTCTCGTTTAACTCACTTCAGACTGCGGTTCGTCAGCCTATCAGAGACTAAAATATCAATCCTTTATTTATTTATTTTTTGAAAGGGTCTTTTTGTGTCTAGTTTTTCCTCTTTTCTTTGGGTGGAAGTGGGGGAGTAGATCCTTTATTAATTCTCTGGTTCACCCACAAAACTTTTAGGCATCAAGTACGTCAGCGAGGAAGAGGAAGTTTTTAAGAGGATGCATGTTAGTTTATATCCTTAACAACATACTATGAATTTGTTGGGCTGTGATGCCAGTCCAGTCCAATAAGTTAGATGATGATGATATATGGCATTCGGCCCAAACTAAAACAAATCTTGCCCAATATCGTCATGTGAGAAGGTCCACTACCAAGACTGATATTCAGCCCAATTGAGTTTGTTGCTCTAGACCGTATGGTTTGTTGGGTGTATAAATAATTATCTCTGACCCTAAATCTGCGAGATCTTTTCATTTTCTTACCGTTAGAACCTTCAAGGGTTCTCTGTTCTCTTTTGTTCATCTTCTCTTTGTAAGTCGATTTCTCCTCCCTGTGAGAATCAAATTTGATTGTTTTTTCTCTGAGTAAAACCTTAATCTGTTGTGAAGTCTTTTTTGGTCCATTGAAGCAACTTATGGTCGGGGACTTGTGAGGGTTCTTGGTTGAGTTAGGGCCTTGGTGATTATGCAGACAGCTACAAGAGTCTCTGAGCCTAAACCAGTCACATTTCTTGGTGTCCAGTGTTATTCTTTGTATAGATTTTGTAGAGTAAACATTAGATCTATAATATTGGGTAAAGAGTGGTTGTTAATAGAATTAAAAGATCAAGCATCATTAAGATTCTCTATCCTTTGTTAATTTGAATATTTTGTCTGAAACTGATAACATAAGCACAATGACTCCTAATTTAATCCAGCATATATCAAGACACTCTTAAGAAGGAAAAAAAGGAGGATCCAGTTGTGCTTCTGGTATTGTGTATAGCCCAACTCATCAAATCAATAACAAGACTGAAACAATTATAAGCATAAATATTCGAATTCTTTTAAAGATATGAATTGTATGCACTTGTACTATGATTTACACATATATTACAGAGGAAAGAACAGAAAAATACAGAATCCAGGACCTTTCCTCAAGGTAAAAACAATGCAATGAAGATACCTTAATTTGATACTAAAAGGATCATGATATGGAATATCGCCTATCTTTGCTTGGTTTATTTCGATGTTTGGCACTTTGAAGTACGATTCCATCAACCCGAATGAATCTGCCAAGTGTTTTTGACACGGAGCTTATGAATGATTTTCTAGGTTCAAAGGATAGACGAGTGCCTGAGGGACTACCAATTGATCCCTCAGGATCGTCAGATTTTGCAATTTCTTTCAGTCTCAATTTCATTTTCACCAACTCGAGTTTTAGGTCCTGATTTTCTTTACGTAGAGTCGAGAGCTCGTCTGATACAGGGTGGATATTAATGGAGAATTGATTCTCTTTGGTTCGAAGAGAAGGAGAATCATTGAGGCTGCTGTCCATGACTTCCCTGAGGTGTTGCTGCTCGTAATAAAGCACTTGAACTGCCATCTGGACTGGTAGTCGTTCATTTTGAGCTGCGTGTGCACAAGCTTCCCGAGAAAGCTTTTGAAAATTCATCACACTGCAAACTTTCTTCCTCTCCATGTCACTTAATGCAGGATGAGCCTGGAGATTACTTGTAAGGAAGCAGATGAATTAGATATGCAGCTTGATAATTCATCTATAAAGTAATTACACGAAGCTTGCAATTAGTTTCCTGCTAAATTCAAACTTTGTTGGAATAAGTAAAACACAAGAAGTATCAAAGCAGTCCAAAAAAATCACATTAGTGTTAAAATTAAGCAGAATAGACTTGTATCTAAAATTTTCATGTCAACCAGGAATCCTATTTGATCCCTTTTCCATTGCTCATCGGTGAGAGATTCAGAAATAAAGTAAGAAAATGTGGAAACCTTCAAGTAGATATCAATGGCGCTATACATTCTGTCTTCTGTTATTCGGGGCTGCTCAGGAATAAGTTCTGCAAGACTGATAAACTTTGAGACAGATAAATTGCTGTCAGAAGCAATTTCAGCAATTTTTTTCATGTCAACCAGGAATCCTATTTGATCCCTTTTCCATTGCTCATCGGTGAGAGATTCAGAAATAAAGTAAGAAAATGTGCAAACCTTCAAGTAGATATCAATGGCGCTATACATTCTGTCTTCTGTTATTCGGGGCTGCTCAGGAATAAGTTCTGCAAGACTGATAAACTTTGAGACAGATAAATTGCTGTCAGAAGCAATTTCAGCAATATAAGTCTCCATTAACCTCGTGACACACTCCACATCACTTTGTGAAGGAGAAATATACTCGTCATCTGCATAGTATCCCGATCTATTCCCCTCCATTTCATATTCCAGGTAATTCGTCATTATCCTCTGCACAGTTTCAACATCACACAATGTATCCCCGGTGAAAGAAGAAGAAGGAATTAGTAAATCGTCTAACACGGCCTCTCCCAATTGCAAGGCCATCCTCTTTTCCAAGTCGAGCCTGCAAGCAACTGTTGTTTCTAGATGTATTGCAGCTCGAAGAAGCATTGAGAGAAAGCTAACTGACATAGCGTTCTTCTCTCTTGGCAGAAGACTAACTATTGTTTCCAACACAACCCGTTTCTCTTGTTCTTCTCTTGCATTGATTTTCATCCTAACTTTTCCAAATATTTCCTGAAATGAAAAGAAAAAATAATATATGAATCTAGCTGACAAGAATAATAATCTATGTTTATGGGGTAGAACTCACCAACCCACGAAGAGATTTTTGTGCATATAGCATTAGTATTGGACCGAGAGCGTATTGTTTGAATCCTCTTGCCATCATTGCAATGAGAACCCTTTGAAAGAAATCAATTCGAAGGACAGTCAAATCTTCAGCCCACCAATCAACAACAGGCTTTGCATTGGACATGGATGATTTGGAGGACATCGAATCATTCTTCCCACTCTCGGCCCTCCCTGGTGCGCTAAATTGGCTATCTTTACAGGCCACAAATGCTATCATATCTATGCATCGCCTCACCAGTTTTACTTTTTCTGCTAGGGGAAGAAGGTTTTCTGAAGAATGCAAAATGGTAACTGCCCCTGCAAGGCTCTTTAATGCCACTTCGTGTAGGTACTTCTCGGTTCTTGCAACTAAATTTCCATCTGCATAGTCTTCTGTCATCTCAAGATATTCAGCTACACACCTAAGCATGGCAATGTTTTCTGTACTAATCTCAAGGTTGATTCCGTAACAAAATCTTGCAGCGAGTTCAAATGCCTCTGCTCCTCGGGGAATATCAGGGATTTCAATAACAGCAAGATCAGTATCAGTGGATTCTGAAACTAACTTCCTTATGTAACCACATTTTGAGACCAATGGGAACTGTTGATGAAAAAACATGTGCAACTGAGTCTTGAAATTGCTTTGATTATGAGAAATGAATCAAATATTAAAACTTCAACTGCAAATTATTTCTAATTCAATTAGAATATGCTATAAGAAACATCAATGTACTCTACCTTGTGCAATGAAAAGGAAGTTCCTCCTGCTCTAACAGTTACATCACTTGGGATTTCCTGCGAAAAGATCCTGTTGAACGTTGAAACAAAAATCATAAGTTCTTTATAATCTTTAAACCTTTTTTTTTTACCATACAGAATTCAGCAGAAGTGGCCAGACTTATCTTTCATTAATTAACAAGTAAAAATAAATCTATTTAGTAAGGGAAAAGAGAGGAAACCATTCACTAGTTCTCTTCATGGCAGTGGAAAGAAGATCATTTTTCTTAGTAAACATGTTCGTTGCCATGGGTTGTGAAGTTTGCTCCGGATCAACATCCACCATTTCAATTATTTCAAGTACCCTGATCCCATTTAAGAGTTCATCATAGCTGCAGGTACATAATATTCTTATAAGAAGTTTCCCTTTATAGCTGTGGTCATTTCTTAACTAAGGATCGTACAATTAAGCTATTCATACATTAAGTTTGACACCCTTATTGAAGGATGGCCAATCTGGCAAAGATTGTGATTGTTGGATTAAATGTGTGAGATGTAAAAGATGGTGTGAGATTACGCCAAGTTTAAATTCGGTAAGCCAGTGTGGTGAGAGACAGAGAACATAGTGGTGCCAAATAAAGACGTTTCCATGTGAGAATTATTTTCATCCATAAAATTGCCTATCTTTTACAGAGAGATTTCTGTATCATTTTGGCAAATCTGGACTACAATAGCATAAAATTGCTCAAAGACGTGAGTTCATAAGCACATTAGTCGTCTTCCTTCATCTGACAGTTTAAAAAGGAATTCTAACCAAGTGCTTGTACCAAGAGTATCAAAGTTGTCTCCTTCTATTGGAAGACATTCTTAGCTGTTAGGGACAAATCCCACACTAAATAAAGATGAAAATATAAGCCATTACCTAAGAGGTTTAGACTAATTGGTCTTTTAAGATGAAATCTTAAGTAATTTAAGGATTACTTCTTAATCTCACTGCCCAAGTGCTTATAACATAGATAATTACGTTTATATGCAATCCAATACCTCTATGTATATTGTGTCACAGGTTGGCTTCCTTTGTCAGCATATGAGCCCACCAAGTAGAAAGTTTGTAAACCAGTGGCCGGAGATCCCAATCAAACCCCCAAGTCGCCTGGTCTTATCATGAAACCTGAAAGAAATGCCATGACCTACCATATAAAGAAGCCAACAAATGCCAGTAAACATAACCTGCAATACTACGCCTGGTTAGATAATTTTGAAGGCCCGAATGTGACAACACACAGAATCCATTTAATGCATTTTTCCAAAATTATATTTCACTCTTGCTCTAGTCCTCATCAATGAGGCTCTTATCATCATGCAATTGAGATCGATTTCTGTTCACCGATAATTATAGTAGTGGCTGTTCACGTTTTTGTTAGGACGTTTTCCAGTGAATTTGGGTTTGATTAAACTCATTATTCATGGGTCCAGTGTGAAATATGCACCCTACGGATGATAAGTTGTCTGGATTAAAGTTCATGATTGATCAAATGTTGAGTTTTTGGCTGCATGTTGGCTCATGTCATGTAATAATTAAAAAAAGTATAGAATTATATAGAATAAATTTCTATTAGAATTCTCCGTTTTGTTTTTTTAGAGGGAAGAAGGGGAATAATATAGTATATGTTACGCCCCTATCAGAGTCATTTCGGAAATTTCACCACTGCACCATACGAGTGTCCACCACCAACTTGAAGTGTTTCCAAAGTGACTCCTCCCACCAAAACAATCCTACTGATACACAATGCACTCGAAGGTTCTCTTTCCACCGCCACTTTCAAAAAGAGATCTGTGTCAAGATCCTCTCTGCCCCCAAGGCTTAATTGATTTGACGTCTCCAAATGTCTAATTGATGTGACGCATCAACTTTATGTCAACTTAACTCAGGAGAAGTTATTACCCGCCCACTTTATAGACAGGGTTGATTGACGTCTATGAGCAGACGCTTCACATCGTCAGATGCATACACGTGTCTTACATCCAACGCTTCTTTTCACCTATAAATACCCAAAGTTTGACAAGAGGCAGAGGTAATGAAATTCTTGCAATTTAGCTCTCCATAACAAGAAAATATATATAATCTCCTCCCCACTTTCTTGCACAACCCGAGCACTGTTCCGATCACCAAATACTAATTTGACCGTCGGAGTGTATGCGGCCGCCACCACCCCAGCTGGTTCCGACCGTGTGCATTTGACTGTGTGTTGATTGTGCGCAGGAAGGATCACGTGGAATAGCTATCGGTTGGCCACGCAGGAGGTCCAATTTACGAGGTCAACAGTATACATCGGAGGGAAAACGAACAAAAGAATGAGTGTCCATATGTTATAAAATTCTTGCAGCATGTACAACAATAGGATTAGACAATTGACAGAAGTGCGGACCAGATTGAATGAGACCATATTAAGGCAAAAAATCAAAAATTTTCAACGTCCAAATTAAGTCCAATACTGTGTATCAAATATAACTTAAATTTATTTATTTTTTCTTTAATATTGTATAGCATGCATTACCATACAAGTAAAAATTGAGCGTTTACAGAAAAATGCATCATAAGGTTCGTATCAATGAAGTCACCGTATGTTTAGTAACAAGAATATTTTTTTTTTTTTTTTTTTTTTTTTTTTTTTTTTTTTTTAAAAAATTTTAAAAAAAAAAATAAAACCCTAGTTTTTTTTTTAAAAAAAATTTTTTTTTTTTTTTTTTTTTTTTTTTGGGTTCTCTTTCAGTCTAGTCTACCTAGCAGCGATGAATGCTCCCCATAATTGGCATCCACACTAGGCCGAGTTGATCCTTCACTACACAAATTAAGGCACATTTTTTTTCCCTCTAACTAAAAAGCTAAACCAAAACAGTGCCATATCACAAATATAATATATCAGAACCTACATAACTGACATAACTTGATGCTACAACATATAACTCAGTCCCTGGCATTTTGGCAGGGGGAAATTTTTAAAATCTTACTCAAATTTGAACTGATTTTTTCAAATTTCAATTGGAAAACTCCAATTCCACACTGCGAACAAAAGGCAGGCGTAATTTGGGCGAGAGAGCTTCCAGGCCTGCCATTGCTTCCTCACATCAGTAAGTGGAAGAATTTCTCGTGCAGAAATTTCACTAGAAAAATCAGCATGACAATCACAGATGTTACCTTGACAAGATCTAGCCAGATAAAAAGCAAGCGTAGAACTGAAAGGTCTGGCACCAAGCTTAATAGTAAATATAAAGATCAAACACCATTGGTAGTAGTACCCGGTTAGCATTATAGTACTACAAGGGAAGCCCAATACATGTCCAAAAAACACAAGTAAATATTTCTAGTCTGCTACATTACTACTCCCTTTATCTCATTTATATAGGCTAATTTTGTTTTTCACACAGATTTAGAAATCTTATTTAATGTTATTGGAAAAACAATTTTTGTCAAAAACTTTTATGGTCTATCCTTATTTATATTTGTAAAATTTCAAGATTAAGTAGAAAAATTTGATTATAACTAGGCAAATTAAATTAAGGTATATTAGGAAATGAACAAAACAAAACATTTTCGATAAAGAAATATGATTATATAATTGGAACAAGAAAATAAAGAAAGTCAACCTATATAAATGAGACGAAAGGAGTATTATTTTTCATTTTGATAATTCCATTCCACTCTCCTTTTTGACAAGTAAATCTTGCTCGTATACTATTTTACTTCATTTTAAATCATTTTGATCACTTCCATTCTACTTTCCTTATCTGAGCAAGGACAGAATATGGATTATAAGGAAATTTGAAAATCAATATGGAACGTCTTCAAGATAGCCCCCGTTTGAGCCCCATTAATTTTTATTACATTACATTTCATTTTTCTCTCTCCTATTTTCAACCTCACAATCTTCCATAAAATAATATTACACGCAAATCGAAATTTTTTCTTTCTTTTTCAACCACTCATTTTTTAAAAAACACTATTCTACACATTAAATTTTCCCCGTCATGAGGGCCAAACAGGGGCATAATAATAAGATCACTAGGCCCATACACAATTAATGCTTCCAGGTGAATTGAAGTTGACAAGACATAAAGCCCTAAACAAAGTAGTCCGTGACTTACTCCCACGTCGTAAGGGTCATCAAAATCTCATCATCAATGGGTTCAAGTGGTTCCATCCCAAGTTTCAACTGTTAGAAAGGCCGATATCTCAATAAGTTACCACATTGAGCTACCACGCAAGATGCAAGGAATGTATATCAAATTTCCACATGTAGAGCACGCGATGTGAGTAACCAGAGCAGAAGAAAAAAGTAGGATTTTATGTAATTCAAGTGTCCTGTTTGTGGTCAATCACCCTTCAACTTGAAGTGTAAATTCCCATCCTAATACATGAGATAATCAGGTTAGTGAAGGCTGTCAAAACCAGTTACATCAACACAAGCAAAGTAAAAATAATAACAATTTTTGCAGCCTACAATAAACTAGTTAAGCACGAACCACTTGATAAGACAGTCATCAGCTTCGGCTCAAGTGGCATGTTCAATAATGCAAAGAGCGGTCTGATTATCAATAATAAGCTCCTTTGATGGCCCATAACTTTTTCCTATAGATAATGGGACCTTATAAAGAACTTGTCATATCACAATTAATTCTTCGTTCGTACGAACTGTAAACTTTAACATATAACTGTGTCATTGAAGCATGACTAATTAAAGTAACCTGTGCAGATAAATGAATCTAATAGAAGCGATTAAGGAGGGTATTTTAATTTATTTTTTAGTTGCTTCAGTAATTCCAATTTAACCTTTCGTGTTCAAGAAATAAGTATTAAAAAATTACAGTGATAACTGTGAAGCCTGGGGACACAACACACTCACTTCCTTTCTTAACGAAGCAGACAACAGCTAGAGACATCAGTTGTGAGACCACTTACCAAATATAAGAAGGTCTAAAATAAATTAACCACATAATTAAATTACATTCTGTAAATACCGCACAAAGTTTCCAAATGTTCCTTGTCATCTAGCTAAAATGACAACAAATTTATGTTCCATCAGGCAAAAAGGTCAAAAAGGTTGATAGACAATGAAAAAAATAATGATGGCTAGTCGAAGGACTAATTTCTCCAGTTTTTGTTTGGTGAATCAGGAAACAAACAACAGAAGGGGTCGCAACGTCCATTTCATTATTGCAATCTCACATCATAAAGATGTGGATGATTTAAAGAGAAAACTTCTTTTTCCCTCACAGGGCCGGTCCTGTGATTGTCGGGGCTCGAGGCGAATTCCACAAATTAGGCCCCGACGAAATCAACGTAAATGTAAAATTCAACAGTATATTATGCGATCTATTGCTAACTTAAAACTAGCATCTAAACAACAACCAAATATATTATAAAAAAGATTTATATTATAAAATAACAAAACCAAAGATTTAATCATAGAGTTAAGGAACTTGTGCCAAGTGTGGAAGTGCAAATTAAGAAATCGACATAATTGACTAAAAATTTATTATCAACTAAAATTAAACAAAAATATACATATAGATTAAAATACGACTTTCTATCCCTTTTAAAGCAGATTTAGAATGAAAGAATTGTAAAATATAGTAATATCTTCGCAAAGTTTTTGTATAAAAGTAAGACGACGATATGGATTTAACAAATACAATCATATAAATATCTATTTTCACAGTTTTTGCTTAAAAATAAGACAACAACATGAATATTTATAGACATCCATTATAAAATTCATCAAATTTCACATCATTTTCTAGAAAATAAACCCCAAATTTAACCATTTTAGATCTTGTCTTCAATAAATTTACATCAAATCTCACACCACTAGATCTGGACTATTTTGCATTGTTTTGAAGGGAAAAACAAAAGGGCTGAAATGAGGCCCCTTATGCTCTTGGGCCTGAGACGAGGGCCTCATTTGCCTTGCCTAAGGACCGGCCATGTTCCCTCACCACCTATTGCAACAAATTTAAGCAAGAAGAGTAAAAGAAAAGGTTATGAGCTTTTCTCGCTCACTTTTGCACGTAAAGGACTAGTAAGGTCCCAAAATCTTCCTTCTCATTTCCTTTCCTTACCAAACAGGAAACTTGAGAAACAATAAAACTGCATTATTCATTCTTCTTCTCTCTTCCACCCTGCAGCCAAACCACTCTTTATCCTTCCACTATTCACAGACGACCAACCATGATGAGACCTTACATACGGCAAATCCTTTCTTCAGTTAAACAATTAAGGAGTTTTCGTAATGATGGTTCAACTCATATCCAAGCCTAAGATTTACTTACCTTCTTGCCAACTGATTCAATACCTTGTCAAGGCACCTCCAATGAAAGAGAAGCAATTCAGATATACGATTACACAAGTTTAAGAGAGAGAGAGAGAAATGTAAACAATTTAGGACACAAGGAACTCAACATTAATATTTTCCACATCGAAATAGTGTAAGGAATTCAAATATAACTCATCATTGTTTAGTTGCCTGGTTGAATCAAATTACTTAATCCAGTCACGTGGACCAGTAAGTGCAAAATTGAAGTCCCTTAACCACAAATTTAAGCTCCATCCTTTTAAATAAAATCGATATATTTACTCGCAAGAATTTTCACCAACAATCAGCAGTCCAACATCGATTTCCTCAGATGGGTCAATTGGGCAATTGTTTCATCGAAATTCAATCCATATCACGATGGTATTTTTATGTTCCTGAATGGGTCACTTTCATCTTTTTAGGTTTATGCTCTATTTTAGGGGAAAGGTCCTTTCAATGAGCTAACGACCACGTCAGATATGGACCGAACTCGGGTCCACGGTGGGGCTTGGGTATTAAGTTCACATAAAAATGCAGCATTTAATCCTTCCAGCACTAATTTAGAACAGGAAAGAGTACATATAAATGGCCTATGTAGGACCGAATTCCACAGCCAAGCAGTGCAAAACCGAGCT